GGGGCGTGGACCTGCCCACCGTGGAGTCGCACCTGGGCAGCCACCGTGGCCTGCACCAGTCCATCGAGGAGTTCCGCGCCAAGATCGAGCGCGCGCGCGCTGACGAGGTGAGCTGCATGCGCGCCAACCGGCTGCACGTCCGCCACGTGCAGGACAGGGAGCTGGATGGGCTGCGGTGCCTGCCAGGATGCGGGAGATGGAGACGGACGGGCTCTGATGCCTCCCGGATGTGGGAGCTAGAGCTGGATGGGATGGGTGCCCGCAGGGATGCAGGACATGGATCTGGATGGGCTGCACTGCCTCCAGGATGTGGGAGCTGGAGCTGTATGGGCTGAGTGCCAGCCAGGATGCAGGACATGGAGCTGGATGGGATGGGTGCCCCCAGGATGTGGGAGCTGGAGCTCGATGGAATGGGTGCCCGCCAGATGCAGGACATGGAGCTGGATGGGCTGAGTGCCTGCTGGGATGCAGGACATGGAGCCGGATGGGATGGGTGCCCCCAGGATGTGGGAGCTGGAGCTCGGTGGGTTGGGTGCCCACTGGATGCAGGACATGGAGCTGGGTGAGCTGGGTGCCTGCCAGGATGCAGTATGTGGGGGCAGGAGGTCCAAGTGCCCTCCAGGCACTGATGGGCCTGAGAGGGGCTGCAGGGCTGCGGTGCTGCATTGCGCCCTGCGCTCACACATGCTCTCCCGCAGGCGCAGCTCTCGCCGGGACCCCGCAACGCCTACCGCGAGTGCCTGGGCAAGCTGGACCTGCAGTACGCCAAGCTGCTGGTGCGACACTGGGCTCGGTACAGGGATGAGGGGGTGCGGGGTCTGTGGTGAGGTGTTTTGGGGTGGAGGTGCAGCGTACAGGGGGAATGAAGTTTGGGATGAAGGTGTGGGACATGGGAGCAAGTGTTCTGGGATGGAGGTGCAGGGCATGGGGAAGATGTTCTGCGATGGAGGTGGAGGACATGGAGGATGGGGGTTGCATCTTGGACTGGAATTGGGGGCAGGGGCCGAGGGTTTGGGAAACTGTGTGCAGGATGCAGCCTGTTGCTTTCCCGTGCCCAGAACTCGTCCAAGTCCCGCCTGCGGCACCTGGAGAGCCTGCACGGCTTTGTGAGCGCCGCCACCAAGGAGCTCATGTGGCTCGACGAGAAGGAGGAGGAGGAGGTGAACTTTGACTGGAGCGATGGCAACCCCAACATGGCAGCCAAAAAGGAGAACTACTCGGTATGCGGAGTCCTGTCCTGGCACGTCCCTGTCCCCTCCACACCCCGTCCCTCCCCAGGCTTTGCACACTCAGTCTCGTCCCTGCACATTGCAGCAGGTTGCGGTCGCTGCTACTGGTCCTAATGGAGCTGAGCTGCCCCTGAAAACAGCCCTGCAGGCTGCTGGGGCCGGAACACGCCAGCACGCACCCGCGTATGCACACACACACATATTCAATGCACATGCTCACACACATACACCCACATGCACACACACATTCAATGCACATGCACACACATGCACACACACATATGTGCACACACAGTGTGGTGTGCGCCGGTGTCCGGTGTCTTGGCCGAGGCCGGGCTCTCACTGCCACCCCCGGCTCCATGCAGGGACTGATGCGGGAGCTGGAGCTGAGGGAGCGGAAAATCAAAGAGCTGCAGAGCACTGGGGACCGGCTGCTGCGTGAGGAGCACCCGGGCCGGCAGACTGTGGAGGTGAGAGGGGCAGTGCAGGGCATGGGGAGGCTGCAGGACTTGGGGTCCATGTGCAGTGCAGAGCTGTGGGGCACAGGGTGCACTGCATGGAGCTGTGCAGTGCAGAGCTCTGGGGTATAGCATGCACTGCACGGGGCTGTGCAGTGCAGCGCTCCGGAGCACAGGGTGCAGCGCGTGGGCACTGCTGGACCGGGTTGTGGTTGACATCTCCTTCTCGCAGGCCTTCCAGGCGGCACTGCAGACGCAGTGGAGCTGGATGCTGCAGCTCTGCTGCTGCATCGAGGCCCACCTCAAGGAGAACACCGCCTACTTCCAGGTGAGCCATGGTGGCAGTGCGGGGCAACACGGTGTCCTTGTCCCCATCCCTGTCCTTGTTCCCATGCCGGGCCTGGCTGCAGCACACGCTGCTGCTCACCACCCTCTTCCCCACTTAGTTCTTTGCCGACGTGCGGGAGGCTGAGGAGCTCCTGCGCAAGATGCAGGAGAACATGAAGAAGAAGTACTCGTGCGACCGCAGCATCACCGTCACTCGCCTAGAGGACCTGCTGCAGGACTCCCTTGTGAGTGGCCTCAGGCATGCGCGGGGCCCCGGGTGACTCCCCCATCCCCTCGCACCCCCCTCATGGCCATGCGTCCCCCACAGGAGGAGAAGGAGCAGCTGGCCGAGTACCAGGCACCGGTGGCCGCGCTGGCC